AGCCGATCGCCCCGCCTACACTGCGTTGCTACCCCAGGTCCTAAACTGTAATGGAAATGCGCCACGGCCTGGGCCGGCCAGCGAGGCAGCCCGAGGCCTGAGCGAGGACGCTTAGGGACGCTTAAACGGGGCTACCCCGTTGCAGTGGAAACGCGCCATTAGTGAAGCCGTCCAAGGCCATAGACAAAATGGAACCACGTACTAACAAAAGGGACACAAGGTCATCAATGTCTCTCTTTACCATTGGCCTAATTGCACAATAAATGAGTGGGGAAAAGAAATGTGGAACACTAATCCATCATGTGAAATGTTGAGTTAATCTAAATAATTACTTATGGGTTGAAATCAAATTAACATTAACATTAGAACTAAAGTCAGTCAAAATTGGACTTTGCACGGATCAGAATCTAATCAATACACCATTTCCCCAGCTCTGTAATGAAAAGGATAACAAGATTAGGTACATTACAGGAGTGTTCCACACCCAAACATGCACACTTATCTTATTCTAGTAGAGATTAGAGGACAAGGTCTAATGTTGTGAACAAAATGATCAAGTCAAAGTTATTTTATTGATTCTATGTTATGTACCACATTTAATTTAATAATTAATCTTGAATTACTAATAACTTTAAAGAAGGCAACAATTTACAATTTGGATAAAGTGAATACTCATCCAAAGTGTGTGTGTATGTGTGTGTGTGTGTGTGTGTGTGTGTGTGTGTGTGTGTGTGTGTGTGTGTGTGTGTGTGTGTGTGTGTGTGTGTGTGTGTGTGTGTGTGTGTGTGTGTGTGTGTGTGTGTGTGTGTGTGTGTGTGTGTGTGTGTGTGTGTGTGCTTGTCTGCCCAAGGTTTAAAACATTTGGGACAGCACAGCAGTGAGAATGTTATGAGAACCAATCTGTTGTTTATACTAAACTCGAAGGAAGCTAGACTGGAACATTTTTAAATAAATCAAAACACTTGCACATTAATTAAATACATTTGACATTTAGCTCGAGCTGGGTTCAATACTTTTCTTTATGGTATTTAAAATTGGGCTCGAGTAGAACCCCTGGATTTGGCTTGCAACACAAAATGATACTGATCTCTGTAGGACTTGGAAGTGTTATGATTCAAAGTGCCTGTGAAAGAGAGGCCCTTGGAAAACAACATCTATTTTTTTAACTGTAATTACTTATTTTAAAGAGATTGCAACATTATACTTTTTAAAGAATTGCTCAATTAATTTAACACATTTATTATGCACACAATAAAAACTTCAACAAATATATTGATCCTGGCTTAACCAGCGACCTTTACTCTGTTGTTCATAAGCTCGGTTACAGAAAACGTGTCTGTAGTTTAACAACTATTTTAATTTTAGTAATGTCTATAGAGACCAATTGGTTGATACGAGAAATAATTTGAAGCAGTTTAATAAAGAATGTTAAACTATTTTTAAAACTGTAATTGAACTTCAACTTATATTAATTCTCTGATTCCAGTGGCCAGTTGGAATAGACAATCAACAAAGTTTCCATTCTGCAACAACAGCGCAAAAGGTTTCAACAATAATTAGTATTATGTCTGAGTCTAGTTCTGTCTTATCTGCTTTGTTTCGGAATGTGTTCAATACAGTACGTTTTTATTCATTATTACCATACAATACATAGATTAAGAATAAATGAAACAAATAATACAACATCGACCTAAAAAAACAGATTTTGCAACCCTGATCTCCTCAGGCAGGTCTCTGAGGGTCTCGGGGCGCAGGACGGGCATAGGGTTTATACAAGGTCACAAACATATCTTAACATACCAGCAACACCATTTAAGAATGGATTCTTAAAGCAATATAATCTTATTTTCTTCTTACACCTAGCGCTCACCCTGAACAGTGGGCTTCTTGTTTACATTTTCCCCTGCACACTCAGATGCAGGACATAAAAACACTCTTTTGCTAATTATTTTCATTTTGCAGCACATTTATACGACCAGAATTTTGCTTTACATCTTTATATTATTTATTTTTCTCAAGTCATTTGCTTTTGGTGAGATAACTAAAGTTTAGTTCATTTTACCCTGTCTATGGACTGATTCATTATTAGTTCTATGCTTGCTTGCCACTGCCCACCTGTGATCAATTAGCCTATAATTTTATATATACACCCCGGACCGCCACCAGCACCTCTAGCCATTTATAGGGAACTGTGGCGCATCGGGTGATGCACGCATCTCGCGCTGCCCCGGCCTTGCCAGCAATGTAGAAGACGGTCACAAACAACGAGTGCTTTTAGACCATCTCGCTTTTAATAGAGATGGCGGTGGTGTGAGTTAAAAGCTATAGACAAAAGGCTGTGACTTTCTTCCTCTCAGCTGCACGGCTGCAGTCACCCAAACATGGGGAGGTATTTACACACACACCCCCGGCTGCTGCTGGAGCCGTGCTCACAGAGGCAATGGAGGGAAATATCTCTGGCTGCTTATTTTTAACTGCTGTGTTTGGCCGCTGAAACCCCCAGAATTCGGCGATTTGTTCAATACAAATCTTTACATTGCTTTTAAACAGAAGTTCCACTTTACTGATGCCTTTCTTTAAGGTCTCTCTAAACATGAGCTGTGTATGCTTGTATGGCACTTCCGTCCCGAGCAGCACACACAGAGGATATCAGCCAGGACTGAGTCCCCAGATACTGATCTCCTGGGTTTATTATCCCCAAATGTTCATTAACCAAAAACGAAACACAGCCGCTCAGTTTCACAGGTAATTTTAGGATACCGTCAATCACAGATTCTGGTAAGGCAATGTCCAAATGTAGATTTGAAAATCACACTTACCAGTTCTGAAGATTTGTTGGTATCCTGCCGACAACGCCAAATTGTAAGGGAAACTTCTGTGTAGCTATGCAGTGGGAGTCACCGACTCAGGAAGGAGACACGGTGGAGCAGTAGCTTTGATGTCAAACACTGATGGTTTATTTGGAGTTTCGGCCGGAGAGATTCACATCACAAGTCCAAGAGCCAGAGGTTCTGACTTCACGGTAGAGTTGCCACGTCAATTCTAGAGCGCCTCTCTCTTGTTAGCCCATTTAACTGGTTTCACAGAGAGTAATCAACATATTTTTATAAGATAGCTTTAGACAGTTTGGGCACACTGAGTTACTTGCGTCCGTAATTTATGGCCTCGAAGATGTCATACCTTGGAGTCCACAAACAACAAAGAAGGAAATGTCCCAGTGCACCCACAACAACAGACCATCTGTGACCTAGGGTTGACCGGTCACAGAATGGGAACAATAACATTATGGCTGAAGCAGCCTATGTCCTTAAAGGAGATAAACAGACGTCAGGGTTGGTCCTGTACGTCATATCTAGGAGTCTAGGACAATTATTTCCCTAACACCATCCACATAAATGGAACGGCGGTGGAACGTGTGTCTAGCTTCAAGTTCCTGGGGGTCCACATATCCGATGACCTCTCATGGTCCAACAACACCACTAGTAAAGAAGGCTCTCCAGCGTCTCTTCATCTTGAGGAGTCTAAAGAAAGATCACCTCTCTCCTCAGATTCTGGTGAACTTTTATCGCAGCACCATCGAGAGCATCCTGACCAGCTGTATCACAGCCTGGTATGGGAACTGCTCAATGCTCAACAGGAAGGCATTGCAGAGGGTGTCAAAAATCGTCCAACGCATCATCGGTGTCCCACTCCTTGCCATCGAGGACATCCAGGGTATACGGTGTCTGCAGAGGGCGCACAACATCTTTAAAGACAGCTCTCATCCTGCACCCACAGAGCTCCTTGCAGCACATGGCTCCCCCACCCAGAGGACAGGCTGCTTCACAGCACTTTGTAACCCAGGAAAGCAGCTTGAATCGTGGGTACATGAGTGTTAAAAGTGCATTAAACTGCTTTAATTCAAATGCACATTTGACTGCATAAGCAGCCGGTCATATGGACAGGAAACTGTCCATTTCATCCACATTTGACTCATGAAATGTACAGGAAACTGTCCATTTCGTCCACATTTAACTCATTAAATGTACAAGAAGATAAGTACAGCAGAGTCACCGCAGTTAGTAGGGTCTCAGACTCACAGGCACATAGGCAGAGATCCAGGGTGATGCACAAGGCTTTTCTACCCAGCAATAAGTCTCTGAAAGGCGGGGAAAAGTGGTGTGAATAGAGGGAGAGAGTACCCGGGGTGTGAGACTCACAGAGACCCAGAGAGCTCCATGCAGCAGGTGGCTCTTCCACCCAGACTGCACCCAGAGAACAGGCTGCTTCACAGCACTTTACAAGCCAGGAAAAGTGATTGAATCCTGGGTATACATTGTTTAATTGTTTAAGTGTTTTTAAATGTGTGGAACAGTATTTTGTCACTTTTAAAACTCTCCCGTCATTGACCGGAGAAATTGGGTCGATGTTGTATTCAATCTGACCGTTAATATTCCAGTGAGACAAAGTACGTACAATGACCGGAGTGATCCCATGTTAATTTTGTCCCAAAACCGGAGCATTCCTAACCCTAACCCTAACCCTAATCCTAACCAAGTCTTCACCCTAAAATTAACGATTCCCCTCATGGGGACCTCCAATTTGTCCCCATAAGGGAGGCGAGTCCCCACACGTGACTGTGTAAACAGATTTAGGTCCCCACAAGTATAGTAATGCTAGACCACACATTAACACACACACACAAACACACACACAGACATACACGTACACACACATACACACAGACACACACACATAGACACACATACACACAGACAGACACACACACACACACACATACACAAAGACATAGAGACACACAGACACAAACACACATACACAAAGACATAGAGACACACAGACTCACACATACACACACACACCAACACACACACACAGACATACACACACATACACAAAGACACACACAGACACAAACAGAGACACACACATACACACACACACATACACACATAGAAATACCACCACAACACAACATGGAATATGTATTGTTCCTTTAA